GGTTTTAGGGCTTTTGGGTTTAGGGATTTTAGGGCTTTTGGGTTTAGGGGTTTTAGGGCTTTTGGGTTTAGGGGTTTTAGGGCTTTTGGGTTTAGGGGTTTTAGGCTTTTGGGTTTAGGGGTTTTAGGGCTTTTGGGTTTAGGGGTTTGGGGTTTAGGGACAATAGGGTTGAGGGGTTTAGAGGTTTAGGGCTTCATTGGCTAGGTGGCACTTTGGGAAGCCTGAAAATCTCCCTTATGGTTCCTCTAGAGGTACCTATTCATAAATACTTTTCAGGGCCCCAAGACTAACCCAGTTGGGCTTGGCGTTCAGAGTTCAGGGTTTGGGGTTCACGGCCCTCCGACCGGACTTTGCGCCGCAGACCACGACAGGGGCGCAGTCTTGGCAAGATCCGCACGGATCTCAACAAAGCCGCACCTAAACGCCTGTACCCCTAGGGGCCCAAATAATTACCCATACTGTTTTGCAGGTTCCTTATTATAGTTATAGTATATATAATATACCCCCAACACCCTATTCTAAATAGTAAGGCCCCTGCACCCAAAACCCTTATAGTAGCCCTTATAGAACCCTTCGAAGGAGCCCCAAAACCCTTATAGTAGCCCTTATAGAACCCTTTGAAGGAGCCCCAAAACCCTATTCTAATCATAACGAAGCTCCCATCCTAAACCCTAAACCCTAAACCCTAAACCCTAAACCCTAAACCCTAAACCCTAAACCGTCTGCATCTTGAACCAAGCGCACGAAAACTCGAAGAGTTCTTCTAAGGTTCGAAGTCCACGGAACCCCAAAGGCCCAATCCAATGCAACCTTAAACCATAATTAGGGTTTAGGGTTTAGGGTTTAGGCTTTAGGATTTAGGGTTTAGGGTTTAGAATTTGGGCTTCAAACGCGGAGCCCTGTAAGCCTAAGATTCTCAGCAGGCCGACGCCATTTGCCAGCGCGGGCTTGCAGCGGTACTTCGGGGAGCACCGGGCGTGCCTTTGGAAGGCCGGGCAGACGGATGAGAGAAGAAGCGAGAGACAGGGAAAGAGAGAGAGAGAGAGAGAGAGAGTGAGTGAGTGAGAGATTGCAGTGCCACGCAAACTGCCGAGAGGATGCCCAGAGAGAGAGAGAGAGAGGGAGGGAGCAGAGACAATAGACGAACAAGAAGAAGAGAGGGAGAGAACTCCCATGGCCTTAACACTTGACAAAGAAAGAAAGAACAGACCAAACAGCACGTCCGGGTGGTCGTGATCGCGCCGGCTGTGGTGGTAGTGGTGATACCGCTGTTTGTGCTGATTCTGGTAACTTGACCAGTTGTGATGCTTTTGCTGTTGATGGTGGGTCGCGACCAGTCGGCATCACCATCATCATCATCATCATCGTCTTAATCACCGTCCTCATACCTGAAGGCTAAACGCTAACCAGAATCTAGTCTCGTCGCTACCATGAATCGCCTTCGGCTTCATCTTCTTTGCCTGCCTTAATCTTGCAATTTATGGGTTGGCGCTTACCCCCTAAACCCTAAACCCTAAACACTAAACCCTAAACCGTGGCCCGAGGCGGCGGGGAGTTTAATGGACTGGACCTCCTGGAACGGATGATGGCCTGGGCTCGGCACCCCAGGAGGTTTAGGGCCGGGTCCCGGGTTATTTCGGGTGCATTAGGGTTTAGGGTTTAGGGTTTAGGGTTTAGGGAAGACGTAGAGTATAGAGGCAATTCTGATCGTTCTCGTCTTTTCTTCAGGTACTAAAGGGGCCTAAAGAATGACCTACACTATTGTGGGGGCTCCTTATTACAATCATAATAGAATATACCCCCAGAACCCTATTCCAATTATTTAAGGCCCCTACACCCAAAACCCTTAAAGTAGCCCTTATAGAACCCTTTAAGGAACCCTTTGAAGGATCCCCAAAACCCTATTCTGTTTATGAAGGCCCCCTGCATTAGGTCTCTGAGAAGCCTCATGGTTTGTGGTGTTCTTGTATTGTGTGACGCTTCTTCCTGACTCTGTGTATATACTGAAGTTTTGTGGCCCAGGGTTTAGGGTTTACGGTCTAGGGCCCTAAACCCTAAACCCTAAACCCTAGAGTCTAGGGTTTAGGGCCAAGTACATCGCGTCTAGGGTGCAGCCCACGTCTACTGGTTGTCTAATCTCTACTGGCCGCAGTATACACTAACCCGGTTGGGCCTGTGGTCTCAGGGCTGGGACGGTAGGGTTCCATCAGGGTTTTAGTAGGGTGTTTATCAAGGTTTGGGGTTTATGAGGTGCAGTTTTTTTGTTCCGAGGGCGTTTCCAAAAAGTCTGTAGGTTCTGTTTAAAACGAGGCTTCAAAAGGATTGCGAGTTGGGCCTCCTACGGTTCTTCCTGCGATTTACCGGGCCTTTTGTGGGACGAAGAGCTTCTGAGTCCAAAGCCAACCAGAACCCCAAAGCACCAAGCCTACATCCGAAACCTTACACGGTTTAGGGTTTAGGGTTTAGGGCTCAGGGGTTTAGGGTTTCTTGCTGAACGCCTCGCTTCGGGGCCCCGAGCCCTACACCCCCAACAAATCCTAAGCCCTACACGTAGGGTTTAAAGTTTAGGGTTTTACCAATATGCCAATATTGCCGTTAGGGTTCCTTCCTATAGATCATATTCTAAAGGAGCCAAAGATCCTGTTCTAATTCTTAAGGCCCTTACAGTAGGTTCGACCCTAAACCCTCTAAACCCCCTAAACCCCCTGAACCC